CATCGAAAGACCACGATGTGTAACGTGAATAAATTTTAATTAAAAGGTGTCCGTTTATTGATAGAGTTATTGCCCTTTCAAGATTTAACGCAACCTTTTGAAGAATTTTAAAACGCACAAATGATATAACTTTTAAATTAATGAGAATCAAATAATTATATATTAAGACAACACAAAGATTGTTCGAAGCTTCTGAAAACCATATTAAATACTTCCTGTTTCTTTTTTCTAATCATTTAAAATATTACATTTCATGATAAAACCTACTGATACATTATATTTATCTTATTTTTTTTTTAAAGTGATGAATGGGGAACAATCAATATTTATATGTTGTTTAATAGTTTGGAAAAGACATTTGGCTTTATTGTTTCATTTTTTTGTTTATGTCAGTGCCCACACTATGTGTTTTTTCAGGACATTGATTCTCAACTACAATATCATCTACGATGATGAGATACTCATGGTCTGAAACTGGACGACTTGAGCTAATACGTGTGGAACTGTAGAAACCAAAAGTTTGGTTTATAACGACATCATTGTCTCCCGGTGGATGTGGATTTGCACAAAGGACCAAGCTAGGGCAATTTTGCCCTGAGTATATTTCAGAGCTTCCAGCTGTGTTGATCTGAGACACTGTGCTGCTGTTGAGCGGCGTTCTAGTCTTGCATCGGCCTTTATAAAGTAGAACTGTTCCGGTGACAATAGAAAGCATGGCAGCAATGCCAATGACAAGGCCAATGATGAGTTCAGTACCAACAGGTTGAATTTCATGCTCGGCGCTGACGAATGTAGGTTTCGGTACGATTGAAGTATTTGATGTGGCTGGTAGGTTTGTTGTCGTGGTCATTGGGGAAAAAGTTACGATAAAAGTTGTTGCTGCAGTTGATGGCGCTAGTACTTTAGCTGGTGTTTTAGTTGTTGACGACATTGGAGTTTTAGTTGGTGATGTAGTTGTTAATGAGGTTAGCATTTTAGTTGGTATTGTAGTTGTTGATGAAGTTAACACTTTAGTTTGTGTTGAAGTTGTTGATGATGTTAACAGTTTAGTTGTTGATGTTGTAGTTGTTGATGACGTTAAATTTTTAGTTGGTGTTATAGTTGTTGATGATGTTAACAGTTTAGTTGGTGTTTTCGTTGTTGTGGACGTTAAAATTTTAGTTGTTGATGTTGAAGTTGTTGATAAAGTTAACATTTTAATTAGTGTTTTAGTTGTTGATGAAGTCAACATTTTAGTTGCTGTTGTATTTGTTGATGAAGTTAACATTTTAGCTGATGCTGTAGTTGTTGACAAGGTTTGCATTCTCGCAGGCGTAGGATTAGTCGCAGAGCTTTGAATTTTAGTCGATGTATGTTTGCTCTTTTCGTCCTTGAAGCCTAGCGTCAAATTTAATATTGTTTCTTGCTTGTTGATTTTTCAGAGGAGATCTTGTAAAGGCTAGAGATGTTTGTACTGCGTCAGACCTTTCTGTTGTTCGTTTCCTCCATCTTGACGTAGCGTGTCTTAATGTTGATACCTCTTGTTGTCTGATCAAATCTCTTTCTTAATATAACACAACACATTTAGTGTGTCATTAATCATGTTATCAGAAGAGAGGTTGCTGTGGCATTAATTTTGAATTCAAAGGAATTCAATAATTGTGATATAAAAACATTATAACTTCACATCTATCAAGAATTGGACATTAAATTTTAGTTACAATGATCAGTTTTGTATCCAAAAGTTTTTATGAAGACTTGGCTTCGGTTAAACAATGAGAAGACAAGCAGCTGAAGAAATTAAGACGATGTTATTCAGTAATTAAGTGGAAACATATATTTCAACGCTACCTGGAAATTTCATTGTAACATAAAGTTACATTATCAAATGAAAGTTATTTTGTGACATTACCTTTTTCGATTTATATACTATTTAAAATAAGTTTAAAAAAAAAGAAATAATACACTGGGAAACATTATATTTTTTTCTTTTTCCAAATTTTTAATTGTTTTTTGCATACTTACCAAACTGTAATTATTTCTTCTTATTTTGTGATGAGGCGCTCAAATGGTTCTGTAAAAAAAACAAAACAACAACAAAATAAAAACAACTAGATGTATCAGATTAAATGTCTTGACACAAATCGTTACGGCAACATCGATTTCAATTCTTTTTGAGCTTCTTAACACCACTGCACTGAATGAAACACACATTGGGTCAGTGTCTGAGACACACATTGGGTCAGTGTCTGAGACACACATTGGGTCAGTGTCTGTGACACGCATTGGGTCAGTGTCCGAGACACATTGCCTTTTTTACTAAACAAGTAATGGCGTCATAGTTATGAAGCCAAAAAGGAAATAAATAATGTAATAATATGTTTCTAAATTAAAAAGAAAAAGTTATGACATAAACATGTCTGTACAGAACCTTAACTCACATAAACCACAACTTGAATTAAATTCCTTAAATCTCTGTAATTGAAGTTGAAGATTTAACAAGGTCAGCAATTGTGGTGCACGTAAAGTCTTCTTGTTCAGTGACATACGTTAACACTAGTTCGGCTTTATATCCTTTAGCATTGTGAAGCATAGAATCCCCTTAGGAGGGGATATGTTAATTTTGTTCCTTTCTTTTGACAACAAATATTTATTCAACGTCAGAAGATGGGGGAAGACCAGTGACAAGAAAAATGCACAGGTAGCGAAGCAGGCCGAAGTTCCTGGTGTACTGAAATAACCTTTGCAGTCAACACACTTTTTTTTTTTTTTTTTTTACCTGGTTCATCAATTCAATGGGTAGATTCAAGATCTCAGTTATGGTCTTCTTTTTTCTTATTCTTAGCCTTTCTCCCTTCTAATAGAGCATATTTATTTATTTTTTTAGGCATTTTTATATTCTTATCATAAAGCTCTAAGCGCTTTACAATTATTAAAACATGTAAACTAAGTAAATACAAATGAGACACTAGGATAGTAACTACTATTCTATAGAAACAATGAAAATGGCTATAAAAAGAGGACACTTTGACACTTCAGGATTAAACCGAAACAGAAAATTAATATGTAATCCGTAATAATTTTCCATCTGTCCGAGTAGTCTGACACCAAACATATTAGAGCAGTGGTCCTCAAACTTCCTAATTCCAAGACCCTTTAATACAGTTCCTCATGTTAATGTTACCCCAACCATAAAATTATTGTTGTTGCTTCTTTACAAGCATGTGTCTCCGATGGTTTTAGGTGACCCCTGAGTAGGGGGTCATTCGACCACCATTTCGAAGATAAAAATCGGAATAAACTTAGTTGTCTTCGGTTTTATATTAAATTATTTATCTGAATAGATTTAGAAATAAAGTGTTCATTTATCATCGAAAACAAACAACTTATGTTTTAAATGGCAACCAAACAACTTATGTTTTAAATGGAAACAAAACAACGTATGTTTTAAATGGAAACCAAACAACGTATGTTTTAAATGGAAACAAAACAACGTATGTTTTAAATGGAAACCAAAGAACTAATGTTTTAAATGGAAACCAAACAACGTATGTTTTAAATGGAAACAAAACAACGTATGTTTTAAATGGAAACAAAACAACGTATGTTTTAAATGGAAACAAAACAACGTATGTTTTAAATGGAAACAAAACAACGTATGTTTTAAATGGAAACAAAACAACGTATGTTTTAAATGGAAACAAAACAACGTATGTTTTAAATGGAAACAAAACAACGTATGTTTTAAATGGAAACAAAACAACGTATGTTTTAAAGTTAAGGTTTGAAACTAAAATTAAGTTAAATAACATTTAGAAACACAAAACGTTTTAAAAAAGAACACATAATTTTTGGCAAAATGCTAGCTATGTTTTTCTTCGACATGCTCTTTAAAATGTTAAAAATTTATTCAAAGAGCTTCACTCGTTTAGTTGATTGCTTTAAATTCACGATAGTGTAAGAATTTATTTTAAAGATATCAACAGCGATACGATTAAGTCTCTTCATACTTCATGGATTACATTTGTACAACATAAAGCTAATATTCTTTAATGTAAACTTTCATCCTTCTACAAACCGACTCACTTAAAAAATTATTTTTCTGAAAATTGGATTTTCATAAGTTTCTGTAAAGTAAAGATAAGGAGAGGCAGGTCCGCATGACTATCTACATCCGCCAGTCTTCATGCACATGTTACATAATCATATGATGTCAAGTGAACTATTTAAATCAGAACTAGAGATCTAATGTTATTGCTAACACTCGATACCCATCAACGCTTTGAAAGGACATAAATAACTTCGGTTTAGGAAATCGAATGAGGAGATAAAATTCATCCCTTATAAGTCATATTCCAAATTAATGAAATGACTCATTTGTAAATTAAGTAAACGTATTTTAATTGACCAAATAAACACAAAACACAAAGCTAAAAAAAAATACGCATAAAAACATAACAAAACACTAAGATGTCATATCAAAATCAACATCAATCAATACATTGTTTTTTAGATTTAAACGTACTAAAAAATTGTGAAAGTAGTCATGGTCTTTGAGTTGAACAAAAAAACTTCCGCTAAAATGTCTACTAAAATACAAATGCATTGTTTATTTATTAAAAAAAACCAAGCACAACTGAAGCCACCATTAGGGAATGAATTTATCCCGTGCTGTAACCCTTATTCTCATATTTATCCCGTGCTGTAACCCTTATTCTCATATTTATCCCGTGCTGTAACCCTTATTCTCATATTTATCCCGTGCTGTAACCCTTATTCTCATATTTATCCCGTGCTGTAACCCTTATTCTCATATTTATCCCGTGCTGTAACCCTTATTCTCATATTTATCCCGTGCTGTAACCCTTATTCTCATATTTATCCCGTGCTGTAACCCTTATTCTCATATTTATCCCGTGCTGTAACCCTTATTCTCATATTTATCCCGTGCTGTAACCCTTATTCTCATATTTATCCCGTGCTGTAACCCTTATTCTCATATTTATCCCGTGCTGTAACCCTTATTCTCATATTTATCCCGTGCTGTAACCCTTATTCTCATATTTATCCCGTGCTGTAACCCTTATTCTCATATTTATCCCGTGCTGTAACCCCTATTCTCATGACAGAGGTCATTGTACTCTGAGGTATATTGAGAATGGGAAACAAAAACTTGTGTTTTGTCATTATTTTGACAACAGTGCTTGCGATTGTTGCATCGTTCTTTGCAAAGGAAGAATACCCCCAACGAAATAGCAAGACCTACAACGACGCCTATCATAACACTAATCATAATTGTACTGCTATTGTCTTCTCTGGCTTTGTCATCAGCGCTATCATTAGATTGGTCAGTACTGGTCGGTGAGAGCTGAAACAACTGTGTTGTAGGTGCTGCATATGATAGTAGCGTCTTTTTCGTGGCCGAAGGTGTTGTTTTCCGTGGCGTCACCGTGGACGGTGTCCTCGTGACTTGGGTTTTGTCAGCCACCACACCTGAAGTTAAATTGCACATCCCGTGCTTCTCGACATATTTAATCATATTCTCGTTATTCGAATAAATCCGGGCGGTTTGAGTAGGGCTCCAGTTAATCTTAACACAAAGTAAATCACACGAGGATTCGAAGTGAAAGAGATGCGAGTCTGCTCGGTCGAGTAACATGAAGTTTCTGACGCAAGTGACTAAGTTGGTGGCTGCGCTCAAGTCACACGAATAGCGCCGAGTGTATAACATCGGGTCCGTCCGTGACACCTCTCTGGTCACACTCACAACTTTCCAGACCTGTTTTGATATCAAATCTAGGCTCAGGATACATTGGGTAGATGACGTGGAGCACACACAATCCCGGAAGCTGAAAGTTTTTAAAAGTTAAATTGTAATAAATTCTAAAATTAAGTTCAGATTGTTCGAAAAAAAAAACCTACAATAAATGTTTTTAATAATAAATAAATACCTTTTTTAACATTTGACCATTTCAGGCTACAATTATTTTAAATCTAGATCTAATCATTTCGTTAACTTAAACGAATTTAATATTGCAAAAACAATTTTGCAATTACAAAAACAAAACAATTTTGACCAAACAGTGGACGGAAACTTTATAATTTAAGCAACATTTTCATTCTAAGTCAACTCATAATTTTTAATTGAGTGTCTTACAAATACTTTTAAAAAATGCACTGAAGCCTTGGATATTCATTTCTAAAGTCAATTGATCAAACAAATCAAGACTCAAAACGTAAAATTCAGTCATGATGATCATGTCACCAATTTTAAATCATATACTCTTATTATGCTCGTTAAGATGCCTTAATACAATAGTAAACGGTTGGAATTTCTGTAAATTGAAAAGTTTTCACCAAGGGGCCAAAAATAGCTGGGCACTGTCCCTTGATACGCCTTTAATTTTAAATACATTCATTTTAAAAGTACGCACAAAGTGTTTTAAGGGCGTTTGGTTTCGTCAAAGGGGATAAATATACTTTGTGTTTTTGTGTTATTGACATTATTGACAAGAACATGAAACTATGGTAGCCTTTGAAATGTTCGATGATCAATTTTAAAATGTTAATTTATTAATTGAACTTCATTTAAAATACATAACATGAAATCATTGCTATATATAATAAATATTGCAATAATATTTTCGTTACCTTTGCCAGTGAGGGTTTGGGGGGGGGGGAGGGTTCTTTAGCAGCCAAATCTCCCCGATAAACAATTTTGCAAAAGTGATGTCTTTTATTAAGAAAGTAGTCAACTCAAACAACTATTTCTTTGCCTCCATCATTTAAACGGCATAAACAAAACCAATCACAATGCCTTGACATTTCTTTTTTCACAATTACACTTGGTGTGTTTATGTAATAAATTGCCAAAATATGTACAATAAATTCTCCAGAATCAAATAGGTACATTCTTTCAAATTAAAAATGTTATTGAAATCATGGCTGCAGAGTGGAAGTGCATATGAAAAATGTAATTAAATTTAAATTTATCGTCAATTTATTTTTAATTTTTTTAAAAATTATTTCAGAGGGAAACAAAACATTGGGACCATATATTTAGAGTATTTTTTTGTCCCAGGGTCGCATTTTGATTTAACAGGATGGAAAAAGGAAAGGGGGCGTGATTAAAAAGACGAATATATAAAAATAATAGTAAAATCTGTAGCTGTTTTTTTTTAATAAAAATAAAACGATAATACCTAATTTGTATTACTTTTGCAATTAAATAATTAATATAATGCTACAAATAGACACATTCAACAAATGTTAAATTATGGGTGTTAGATAAAGGGTAATCATAAAATTAGGTTAACAAATAGTTTTCAGCTTTATAAAATTTTAATATAGCAATAGCAAAACCTCAAAAAGGAATTCCTAAACTTTATATAAAAACCATTCCAACTACTTAACAAATTCAACAGTTAAAGGTAAGTTTATGAAGAGTCGTGATGTTTCGTTCTTCAGTAGGGAATATCTAAGATGAAAGATTGGTACTCTATGTTCATTGTTAACACCAGCAGCCAGGAACCGGATTTTAATTGTTAACCTCAGGAGCCTTAAACCCTTTGTTTATTATTAACACAAGAAGCAATGAACCCTATGTTCATTTTAACACAAGGAGCCCTGAACCCGATGTTCATTGTTAACACAGGAGCCCTTAAGCATATGCTCATTGTTAACGGCAGGCACCCTGAAAACTGTTTATTGTTAACACCAGGAGCCCACAACCCTATATTCATTGTTAACACAATGAGCCCTGATTCCTAGGTTCGTTGTTAAAATCAGGAGCCCTGAACCTTTTTCGTCATTTAGCTTTTCGACATGCCAAGAATTAAAAAACCCATGTCATTAATAATAATATCCGTGGATACAAACCTCATTAAATCGTCCTGTTGGAACCATACATAGTTGGAGTTATCGTCGTTTACATCATAATTGATGATCCTGGTTGAGTTTCAAATACTGATTATGAAGTCTGATTTTGTAGATGGTAAGACATACATGAGACACACCAGATGTGCTACGGGCAACAGAGTTAATGGTCTCATTCTGTTTGACTAGTCTTTGTTAGGATTCTATATAAGAAGGAATAAAGCATTAAGAACGTGTAATCTTGTAGTCTAAAGTATTGAAAGAGCATAATAGTGGAAACATTTGTTATTTCTTAAAGTATAATTAATCCATATTGGCTCTTTAAGTGTTATATATTGAAAATACATGAGTTTTAATCGTGGAAGGGAGAGTCAAATATCTTGGCCCGCCCCCTGTGGCGCTAACTCTAGCTACGCCACTGCCTATAAGATAAACAATTAACACATTCAAAGTTGTACTAGATTAAAAGTGAGAAAAATCGTGAAATAAACTTTGTTCACGTGGGCCCCAACACGACAAAGTTTACCAGAAGGGGTAGCGTCATATGGTTCCAAAATGTCCTGTTGTTGATATGAAATTGAAACACACAGTCATTCTATGAAAGACAGTATTACTGGTTGTAGCTGTACCTAAAGACAGTATTACTGGTTCTAGCTGTACCTAAAGTCTGTATTACTGGTTGTAGCTGTACCTAAAGACAGTATTACTGGTTGTAGCTGTACCTAAAGACAGTATTACTGATTGAAGCTGTACCTAAAGACACAATTACTGGTAATAACTGAACCTAAAGACAGTGTTACTGGTTGTAGCTGTACCTAAAGACAGTTTACTGGTTGTAGCTGTATCTAAAGACAGTTTTACTGGTTGTAGCTGTATCTAAAGACAGTTTTACTGGTTGTAGCTGAACCTAAAGACAGTTTTACTGGTTGTAGCTGTACCTAAAAACAGTTTTACTGGTTGTAGCTGTACCTAAAGACAGTTTTACTGTTTGTAGCTGTACCTAAAGACATTTTCTTGTTATAAATGTACTTAAAGACAGTATTAATGTTTCTAGCTGTACCTAAAGACAATATTTATGGTTGTAGCTGTACCTACAGACAGTGTTAATGGTTGTAGCTGTACCTAAAGACAGTGTTACTGGTTGTAGCTGTACCTAAAGACAGTGTTACTGGTTGTAGCTGTACCTAAAGATGGTGTTACTGGTTATAGCTCTACCTAAAGACAGTGTTACTTGTTATAGCTGCATCCAGAGACAGCGATACTGGTTAATTATTAAACATTTCATTGTAACTAGCGATATACTAAAGATGATTTAATAAGTAGTTTTAATTTTAAATGTGTAAATGGAGTTTAATAGAGCAATCAGGAACAGGAGAAGTTGGTTACAGAGAAAGAAGAAGGCCTTTAGTTTGGAAGCAACATGGACCCCCCCAAAAAAAACCAAAACAACAACACGGGAACAGGAAAAGACAATTGATGAAAAATGGCATGTGCCTCGAAAACTGATACTTTATTTGTTTGACTGTATTATAGTAAATTGGGGGTGTTAAAGATTTTTAAAAATGTACATTTATTGACAATCTATCAATATTTTAACGTGAAAACTTAAGGAAAAAAAAACAAATAATGAATATTAATACCTCGCTAAAAAAGTTACTTTTTAAGAATCATCTTGGACGTGGTCTCCCAAGATCTATCTTTGTTAAGCTAAGATAAAAATAAGGCACTTATATCATGTGTTTTGGCTCTTATCGCCAAACATCACTTTGTATCCCAAAATCAAAGAGGTTACCACTATTGACACAAGTCAATTGCAGCGATACCCATTCTTGGATATATGCATTTCAAAATGTTAGTTTCTGTAAAGTCAAGAGATAATATATAGCATCATTGATTAACGTTTAGCTGGTCGTTTGAGGGCTGTTCTCGTTTAGATTTTTGAATACAAACTATCCCGAAAGACTAGAGTTACCGCTTATAAGTCATAACCCCAAATCACAACTTGCAACTTTGATTTAAATATTTAAAAAAAAAAAAAGAAAGTAATCCAGTGTCAGTGTGTTTATTTAAGTAAATCTTTTTAGAAAAAGCAACAACAAACAAAAAACAAAAACAAAAAAAAAAACAACAAACAAAACATACATTAATAGATTTTATAATGTTAACTTTTCAATTTATTATTAAACTAATTGACAATATTACATAAATAAAAATACAGCAGTACAATTATTTATTAAATTTATCGTCACTTTCTTTAACTATTGCATACTCTAGCGTTCAGTTCTTTATTCTGACTACTTACATAATCGCACACAGCTTGGCGACGATAAAATGTCTGTGCCTCAGTCACTGGGAACACGTGTGTACATCAAGTACACGCCTAGACGCGGATGCAAATAATGTGATCTTCAGCTTCAACTGTTTGTTCTCTACAGGTGACTAGTGGTCTTATTGAAGAGCTTTGTGTAAGTTAGGGTGGGTGTATTTTACAATACTTTTTAATATGTTTAATGCTAAATTGGTTATTATTAGTTTAGTCCAATATCTCCAATAAAAAGTTGCATAATTTCATATGAAAAATATTGTTGGAAGAATGGGGAAACGGTAGCGCTGGATACTAAAATAGATTGGGTTTGAAATTTGGTAGTCATGTTTATTTTGTTGAAAGTTAAATTTTAAAACACAGAGTATTCAAACATTTGTTGGTCAAAGAGCCAGATTTCGATTATAAACATCTTTGAAAAAGTCTGTGTAAGGGGGGAGGGGCGAAATAGGTGAGACTGTTATAATAAAAAAATAAAATTAGATATAAAATTACTTGTCAATTGCTAAAAAAAAAATAATTAAAATATACAAATAAAGGGATATTATTCATGTAATAAAAAGTTTTTTTTATAAAGGTAAACGACTACAAAAAACAACAACACATATATATTGAAGACTAATCTATTTCTACAATTTAACAAAAATTCATTTTATTGTGTACTATTTTTTTAAACAATACATACACAATTACAGTATTTAAGTAGGCGACTAAATATTTTTCCACAGTCATAAATTGTTAATTAAGTTAAAAATAATGAAGTATTTATATTAATTTGTATGATAGAGAGTAAAATTCAATCATGTAAATTAAAGGCATTTTTTTAAAACAAATTCAAGAAAATACCAATTATGGCGCAGATAGATAGCAGCGATATCATTCTAGGATATATATACATGTTAAGATGTATTTATATTATATCTATCTATCTATAAAAATACATCGATCTTAAGATGTCAGCTTTTGTAAATGTTCAACACTTACAAGTTCATTAACATCAAGAGATGCGATAGTATCATCAACAAATATTTCACTGGTCGTTTTGGTCTGACCGAGCTTAGATATAGACTATTTTTTTTAATATTTCAACTCTAAATTCATGTGTAGTGGCTGATAAATCGTCATAGGGTAACTATATCACAGATCGATTAATCGGTAATCGGCCAATTCTCAAATTGGTACAAACCTAATTTATTAGACAACTGACTAAAATTGGTAACTATTGGGCTACAATGTTTACCCTTGCCTATAGCACACCACTTTGTTAGGCAGGCACTGAATTTTTTATTTTTTTTCCTAACCGCTCATTAGTGATTTTTTATTCTGATTACTTACATAATGGTGAATCGTTGGGGAACGAAAAAATGTCCACACCTAAGTCGGCGAGAACACGTGTGTGCATCAAGCACATGTGTAGTCACAGATGTACCGTATCTGGTCTCAGGCTTCAATATTTGTTATCTACTCGTGACTAGTGACTTAAAAAAAAAAAAAATAGGGTGAAATAAGTTTTTTTTTCTATTCTTTTTTTTTTGTTTTTTTTTTTGTTGGGGGGGGGGGAGTGGGAGGTGGGTAAAGTATAGCTAAATAGAGAGAAGAACTTGAAATTGTTTTATTTTTTTTAGAAAAAAAAAAGGTTAAAATATTTTTAGAGAATATTTTTGTGTGCGGAAAGTATTATGGTAGTAGGTTGTCTTTTTTTACCTCAGTATTTTGACATGTTTTTTTTTACTCGCTGCCTTTTTTTTTTTTTTTTTGGTGGAAATTTAACACTTTTTTTTGTTTTTGTTTTTTTTTTTTTTTTTTTTTTTTTTGGGTGTTTTTTTTTTAATTGTTGTTTTTTTTTTTTTTTTTTGGTGGAAACTTAACACATTTACATTCGTAATACACAAATAATTTTAACAGTTTTATATGAGAGAATTAATTTTAATTCCTCTTTGTTTGTATAAAAGCATAACGCTGCAGTTTAAAACATTTTACATGTAATCGGATTTTTTAAAATATCTATGAAATTAATCTGTCTTTCTCTCGGTGTCTCTCTCGCCGCCTCTCTCACAGAGGAAAATCCTAAAATTTCGTTCCAAGGAACATTAGAATGGCCTATTTACATTACAGATATTTGCGCAGCTGCCTATGTACACATTGGCATTTCCCTTGCATTTTTAATCCGCGTTCGCCCTGCTTAGATTTCTGTTACCAAGAATCGTGAGATTTCACATTCTAAGGGTCAGCATATCAAGTGATTTAAAGATATACACACACAAAAAAAAGGGGGGGGGGGAGGGGTTTCTCAAAGAAAAATTAACAAAACTCAACTCGTCTTTAAAATTCGTAGTTTATTATTATTATTTTCTTCTGTTATTAATAGAATGAAATCATCTTAAGAGTTTCAAAATGGCATTTACAACATTCAGGCGTTTACTGCCAGTGACACTGATGGCATAACGTGTGGGGTTAACAGGTATAAGTAACAGACATTTTAAAAATCCATACATTGAAGGGTATTAAAATTTCGGTATTTAACTGTTGGTTTACGTCGAATTGCGGAGTTTTCACGGTTGAAAGCGCTTTACTAAAGCAGCTGAGACGATTAAGTGATGATTTACTTGTAAATAACAATTTTATCTACATACATGATATCTGATCAGACAGAGCACACGGTTAGGGGAAGAGTTCACTCTCAGATAACTTAATTCAAACGATAAAACTAAATGGTTCTATGACGTGAACTAATAAGCATAGTAAATCAATTAAAATAGTCCAATTTAATCAAAGAAAAAATGTAAACTTTCCCCAGCTACAAATTTAAAAAAAAAATAGTTTATTCCAATCCCAGCAACGATCAACTTCTGAGCCGATAGTGCCTAGAAATTGGAAAAAAAACATTATTTTAATTTTATAATCATTTACCTATTTCGAGAATTAACGCTGTTAGCTAGGGAGACAATCCTCTAAACAGTGTTTCAGTTGCGTCCCCTTTGATACAAATAACATTTATAAAAATATCCTTTACTATTTTATTAGTTTGCGTAAGAGTTTTAAACATCCTAAAATATACAATATGCAATTATTAATACAAAATTCAAACCAAATATTTTTCTTTGTTACATTTTCTTTCAAAAATAAATTATCCAAATCTAACAATGACAAGCCAATAATATTTTATAACATTAAACATGTAGAAAGAAAAATTAAAAGCCTTATTTTTTTTTTATTACTTGTGCTCAATGTTTGATAAAGTATTTGTGTAACAATATAACTAAAATTCAAGTGTTTTAGATATTTTTTTTTTTACATTTTAAAAAAGTTTGTCTTCAAAACATAAACTTTATATTTAACGCAATAAAATAGAAATGAGAAGCTTTTAAAACATCAAGAAAATTGATATGCCATATTTCTAAAATGTAGCAATATCTAATCAATCTTAGGTGTCTAAAAGATAACATTTGGACTTTTCATTACACCGATTATACATCAAATACATTTAAGCTCATTTATATCAATTAAGAAAAAAAAGCTATGCTACTTATATAAGTTCAAATTAAATACATTTTTTGTACAATAATGTGATGTTTTATGCTACAACTGTCTTGCACTGCTTTCACAGTGCTATACTAGACTTTTGTAGCTGGCCTAGTCAAACGATGAAGCATTGACCGGACGTCGTAATGTTGGGTTGAAGATTCACTCTTCGCTAGATAAGGGTATACTCAGTCTGGCAGATAAAGGTGCTGGCCAAGCTATCTTATCCGAAACGCTTGTTGCATGCATGCTTTACCCTAAACAAGGAAACATTTTCTCCGTCAGCCAATGTTGCTGGTCAATCTGCATTATCCAAAAGCGTGTTGTAAGGATTTTTTAGTTCTTTATTTTTAGCTCCAACCTTTGCGTACACACCAGCACCAGCAGTCATTTGTGCTGGAGGGCTGGCACTGGATGTTTCATTATCTGACAAGGCGATGTTTACGTTTGTAGGGGGATCGAATGTGATGGGGTGCGTATTTTTCAGAATATTTCTTTTGTTTTGATTCTCAGGTGACTGATGAATATTGATGTAACTGCCTTCTGATCTGGTCGGCAGCGTTACGTTGAAGTTTGGTTGTCTGGATGCATTAGGTTTTTGGGTAGTATCGCTGTTGACATTGCAATACTGTGGATCGGAATCAACCTTCGTAGAATCAGCGGAAGCCAGGCTGTTGATCTCGATCTGTATAGGATATGTATCAATGTCATGTTTTAACGGTGTTGAAACAGTATCTGTTTGACGCCCAGATGTCTTCTTCACCGTATTGTATTCTACAATGTATTCAGAGGTTATGGTTTCGTAAGTACAGTTAGTTTCAGCACTTTGTCCTTTCTTCTCTTTGCTACTTTCAAATATATGTTGATTGTTATTTCCAGATAAAATCACTGCATTGGGATCAGAAGCCGTAATAGGTCTTTCCGTACATTTGTTATCATCTTTGGACCTTTTGTGATATGATTTATTTATTCGTCTTCTCCACAGAAGGACAATTACTAACACAATAACAATTACTGCAACAATAGCAGTTATAACACCAGTTATTAGGCCTGTATCTATAGTGTTATCCTGCATGTTTCTTGTGTCACCAAATGCAGATGTATTTGTTTGTGAGGAATTATAATCTGGAAATTTTGCTTGGTTTCCGACGGCAGACAATAGTGCGGTTGTTGCGGTTGATGTTGTAATTGATGGTTCTGCTCTTGTGGTTTGTTGTTGTGCTGTAAGTGTTTCAGTAGTAGTAGTCTTATTAAAATGTGGTCTGCATGTTGCAGTGGAATCTTTTATTATCTTGTTATTGTCAAAGTTGATGTTATAAATGTGTGAGGGTATTATATTTATACACCTAAAATCACACGTATTTGTATCAGTAGTAAATTGGAAAGACTTAAAAGCGTTCTCAGATGCAGTCGATGATCTGTAACATTGTATATTCCCTTGAAAATTAAATATATCATAGGCAATTGTGCAGTTGAATTCAGCTTGATATTTATAGTTATTGTTATTTATTTTTAATGAATATGTTCGATTTGCTTGTTTGTACCCTTGACAGTATCCTTGATAGTACAAATAGTAAACGTAACATGCTGATGTCGATGCTGAGCAAAGACAATCTCTAAAACTGAAACGAAATGTAAAGCAAACTTTACTTTATTTGTAAAAGTATAATTCACAAACATATTGATTCCTTAAAGAGTTACAGAACTACACCCAATTTTTTAAAGTCATTATTTCAGTTTTATTGCTGTGAAAACTTTTCGTTTTTGTCGAAAATGTACAATATAAAATAAATACAACTGTAATTATGTGAATATTTTAAGTTTAATTTCGATATCTACCAAAAAAAAATTAATTCAATTACATAATAATTGTTTTAAAACATACCTTTCCAGCCAATATTCAGAGAACCATATTATAATTTTGCACGGTGGATTGTTACACTGGTAGTAGAAGGTGAAGCTGACATCTGCGACTGTCATTGGAATAGCAAGAAAGATGCACATCAGCAGAGTCCCCGGTGCAGCACTTGGTTTCATTTCATGTATTTTTTTTTTCTAACAGTGCATTAGGAAATAATATTATAGTAAATCTATGAAGTTTTTTCTTTTAAATCATGATTATTTTTCATAAGTTAAATTATACTGACTCTCGCGAATCAGTTGTGTTTTTAATAAAAGACAAAGCTTTTCGACCAAATTACTAAATGAGTAATTAAAAACAATTTAATTATCAAAGCGTACTGATTATGAATTGTGGTTTAATGCACGCCTATGCATTTAGTACTTCTCTTTGTCTCCCCCAAAACCTGTTATTAAAACAAACCAATCATTTCTTAGATGTGCACAAGTTATATATATAATGTAATTCAAGATGTCAGCTTTTGTAAATGTTTAACACTTCCAAATTCAGTAATAGCAAGAGATTAGTATCATTCATTAACATTTCGCTGGTGGCTTTGGGCTGCCCTTGTTTAGATGTTAGACGAGTAGTATTACTATTTTAATTATACATACATATTTGGCGGCTGATTAATCGGTAACGGGCGACCATTGCAGGCCGATTAAACGATAATCGGCCGATGCGCCAATTGGTTCTAAAATAATTAACAGACGACGGATCAACATTGACAATAATAGGGCTGTAAATTTTACTCTTGCCCATTGCCCCCAACCTTCTAAGTACCGGCACGGACAAGACGTTCCTAATACTGGAGTGATTTCTTTTTTAACTCATAAGTCTATTTCAAAATTGGAAGATTTTAATAATAATGAATTCAGGTCATTCTAGCTACTTAAATAAAAGCTGCATGAACAAATCAAAGTGGATAAGTTGCACACTTTGCTTAATGTCAATATATCATTTAATAGTTATGTTTTATCAATATGTTATTAACATTTGTGTTTATATACGAATCATATCTGAATTTTAGTCCCACAAGTATGAAACATTACACGCACAGATTTTTAAAAAAATCAATTTTATTAAACTAAAGATCCATTTACAACGTTACATTTACGAAACGGCAGCAATTTAGTTTCATTAAATTTTATTATTACGTATTTTCCAAACTTTTGCATACATAAGCATCTAATTCTTATTCTGACTACTTACATAAACGTGTATAGTAGCTTGTGAACGATAAAATATCTGTCCTCAGTCACTGAGAGCAATTTAGTGCGTACAGTAAGTGTGTTGACACGGATGAACAGAATCTGATTTCCTTCGTCAATGTTTGTTCTGTGCTCGTGACGAAAACTCTGTGTGTGTGTGTTTGTGTGTGTTTGTGTGTGTAAAATATAGCTAAACAGTGAAAACACCTTAAAACTTCTTTTTGGAAATAAAAAAAGTTAAAATCTTTGGGTGGGAAAATATTATTATAGTTGGTCTTATTATTTTTAACACAGTACATTAACACTTATTTTGGTTTTGAAACATTTTTTTTAAAAACACGTTTTAAAAATAAAACTGCATTTTGTGTGGAACCATAACCCTTATAAATTAATTAATCTCAATGAGTTAACATTTTAACATGTAAGAAATGATCTTAATTTCCTGTATATGTAAAAAGATATTTTGCTAAATGAATGCTTATATATATATATATATAGATATAGATATATATATATTGTTGAGGTGCTGGATGGCCGAGCGGTCTTTACTGACTCAAAACAAAAGCTGGTGGTCTGGAGCTTAATCCCTACCAAAGCCACCACCAAAAGCAACCGGGATGGATGGGACTCGTTAGCCTTGAACGGCAACTCATCTAAGAGAAGGCAAACTCTGAAATTCAAACCAGGAGCCAAAATGATCGATTCATTGATCGTGGGCCCTCAAGTAAGATTTTAAAAAAAAAAATGTTTTGTTCGTTTGCTTTTTCTGTCTCCCTCTCTTAATTTTGAAAGAAAGAAAGGGAACCTCTAAAAATGTATTTCTCATAAACATTTAGTTGGAAGCATAGAAAAATGACCTCTTTACAATACAGATATTTGCGCAGCTGCCAATGAACGTACTGACATTTTATTTTATTTTCAAAACACATCCGTCCTGTTTGTGTTCCCATTTATTAAGAATCTTGGGATTTCACGTTCTAAGGGACTTTATATCAGAGGGTTTTATTTTTCTTTTGTTTTGGTGGGGCGCGATCTCTTCGGGACATTTACGAAACCTTAATGAAACTTATATATATATATATACATATATATTTTTATATATATAATCAATATAATCAATTTAAAGAAATCCCTGTGAAAGTTGAAAGATGGCGCTTAAAATATTCATGTGTGTGTTACCGGTGACATCGAGTGGGGTAACCGTGGATAATTAACAGACATTTAAAATCCATACATTGAACGCTATTGAAATTTCAAAATTTAACTGTTGTATTATGTCGAATGAACAGTTTTCATTTTACAAGGCGCTTTACTAAAGCAGTTGAGATTATTGACTGATTATATCTTTCTAAAAAAACTTTTTTAGATACTCAGGTGATATGCTGATTGGTCCAAATGCACCAAATAGGGATACGTTCACTCTAATGTAACTTAGTTAAAACGATAAATCTTATTGCACACATTGATATGAATAAATAAACATCGTTTAACTAAAAATAGTCAAAATTTTTCAAAGAAAATATTTAATCATTACATCTACAATTTTTTAAAAATAAAAGTGAATACCAGCAATGCTCGACTGTTGAGACTTTGCATAGAAATAGGACAAACATTCTTTTAATTTTAAAATAACATATTTCAGTAACTAATGCTGTTATCTAGGGTGATAATTTTATTAACAGTGTAGCAGTTGCATCCCCTTAATAGAAATGCATTTATCAAAATATCCTACGATATTTTATTGCTTTGTGTCAAAATTTTCAAACGTAAAAAAAAAAATAAAAAAAATAACGTGATTCAATTATTAATAGAATGATCAAAACCAAAATATGGTTGAAATATTTCATTTCAAAATATGTAATCTAAATCTAGATAAGACAAGCCAACAATGTTACATCATTAAAATTTGAAGATGAAAAATTAAAAATCTTATTTTTTGAATTACCGTAACAACTTTCTTATTGTTTGATAAAATATGTGTCTACAGCATAAGAAAAATTCAAATGATTTATATACATTTTTTTTACATTTTAAAATTTTGGGTTCAAACCATTATCTTAATTCTATAAGACATAAATGAGAGGCTTGAGACAGCAAGCAATTTGATAAAATAATTTCTACAATGCAGCAATATCTAACCAGCCCTAGTTGTCTGAAAACTAGTATTTGGAATTTCCATTACATTTTTTTTAATAAACACATTTGAGCTTATTATATTAATAAATATTAAAATACTTCGATTAAATTAATATTTTCATGTTAAAACTGAAAATTAAAAAAGAAAATTAAATAATTAAATTTGACTAATTAGATAATGAAGATTCAAACATTTTCAGCATACTAACGCGATGTTTTTATACCACCAATGTCTTGCATTGCTTCTACAGTGCGATAACAGAGTTTTTTTTAACTGGCGTCGTCAAATTATGGTGAAGCATCGACCGGACAACGTAACAATGAGTTGAATGTTGACGCTTACCCAGAAAAAAAGGTATATCCTGTCTGACATTTGAAGATGCTGGCCAAGCTAAATTATCCGAAATTCTTGAATACGGATGCTCTACACCAAACAAGTGAAAGACGCTGTCGGTCAGACGATGATGCTGATCAGCCTGACTTATCAAAGAGCGTGTTGTAAGGATTCGTTAGTTCTTTATTTTGATCCCCAAGCTTTGTGTAAACATCAGCCGTCGTTTGTGTCGGAGTGTTGGCGTAGGCAGCGGATGATTCATTATCTGACAAGGTGTTGTTTATGTGTGCAAGATGATCAAAAGGGACTGGATGAGTGTCTTTCATATTATTTGTTTCGACCTGATTCTCATGTGACCTTGCAATGTTGGAGTGAGCGCTTCCTGATCTTCTCTTGGACGTTTTATTGAGATTTTGTTTCCCGTATGAATTTTGTATGTGTGCTGTATCGCTGTTTACATTGCAATATTGATGATCTAAAACAACCGCCGTGGAATCAACGGAAGTTATAATGTTAATCTCGTTTCTTGAAGGGCACACGTTGATTTCCTGTTTTATTGGTGTTGGAACGATGTTCTGGTGACGCTCAGTTTTCTTCTTTACCGTAGCGTATTCTACAACACTTTCAGAGTTTATTGTTTCGTAATCACCCTTAGTCTCAGCAAATTGTCCCTTTTCCTCTCCTTTTATTTCTGAATAAGTTTGAACATCATTTTCAGAAAAAGTTACTACATTGTGATCAGATACCGTCACACGAGTTTCAGAGAATTTGCTCTTATCTTTGGATTTTGCCTGATTTAATTTCCGTATTCGTCTTCTCCACAGAAAAAGAATAACTAAGGCAATAACAAGCACTGCTACAATAGCAGTGATAACACCAGTTATTAGGCCTATATCTGTAGTAAAATCTGGCCCGTTTCTTGCCTCACCAAAAGCAGATGTATTTGTTTGTGAGGCGTTATAACCATGCAGTTTGGTTGGGTTTGCGACAGTTGACAAAAGGGAAGTTGTACTGGTTGACGTTACGGTTAACGATATTTCACTTGTGGTTGGTTGAAATGTACCAACTTTTTCCTTGGTAGTAACCTTAGTTGCAGTTGTGCTGCACCTCGCAGTGGTATCGTACACATTTATGATGTTGTTTTTACCAATGAATATGTCATAAATGTGTGATGAAACCATATCTACACACATAAAATCGCATTTATTTGTCTCAGTTTCAGTATTAAATTGCAAAGTTTTAATATAGTTGCCAGATTCATTCAATATTCTTGAACATACTATATAATTTCTTGATTGATAGGTACCGTATGTGCAGGTGAATTGAGCTGGATATTCATAAAGATTGTTATTTAATGGTAATTGATATATTTCATTTGCGTAATTGTAACTTTGATAGTATCCTTGATAGTATCCTTGATAATGTGTATTGTAAAAGTAACATGCCGATGTCGTTGCTGAGCAAAGACAATCTCTGAATCTGAAACGAAATATAAAGAAAATGTTACATGATATTTAAAAGTACAATTCATTCACATATTCATTCATTATAGAAATGCACTATTTTGTACAGTATTTCAATGTTACTGCTGTGATACGTGCTTGGTTGTAAATAATACAATTTATAAGATAATTTAAATTAAACATTAATTTGGTGTTTGAAATGTGGCAAATTTTCATAAAACAGATGTTATTGTCAAAAAGAATTTATTTTAAAAAAACACAAGAGAAAACATACCTTTGCAGCCCATATTCAGAGAACCATATTATAATTTCACACAGTGAAGAGTTACATAAGTAAAAGAAGGTGAAGCTGACATCTGCAGCTATTATTCGAATAACAAGAAAGAGGCACACCAGCAGCATCCCTTGTACACCACTTGATTTCATTTCTTTCTTTTTTTCTAGCAATTTATAATGAAATAATAATTTAATATATATCTGAAGTTTTTTTTTTAAAATTATGATGACCTTTTAGAAGTAAACCTATACGAACTCTCACCAATCTATAGAGATATTATTATCACATTTTGTTGAGTGATACGTTCATATTCTTGTCACACAAATAACTAAAATAATATTGAAATTCTATATTAGTCATAAAAACATTATTATGGTTTGGTTGTAAGTATAAATATAAGAATTAAGTACTTCTCCTTTCTCCCCCAAATCACTTTATGAAAACAATCATTTTATCCCTCAGCGTATGTGGGACAGGATCAATAATTTAGCATTATTTATTGTAATATATATTTATCACAAAAAAAAGCAACAAAAACAGCAACAAAAATGTATAAGTTTCAATTATGAGTCATCCTCATATCATTCTCCCATTCAAAGAGCAGGAAAGTGTCACATGATTTGCGTCATATTTTATCGTGGTCTAGAGTAACAATTAATGTAAAGTATAACATAAAGGCAACAAAGTTATCATTTAAAATAAATTCTACAGACATTAAATTCCTTTAAAATATAATCAAAGATAAAATGTATCTTATTTTGTTTACTATTTTTGATTCGTATAAACTGAATTAAAGTAACCATATTTTGATAACTATGAAGAAAAAAAAATCAAGTAGGCCAAACATTAAATAAACTATAATTTTTTTTTTTTAATGGTTGTAGGCATGCTTAACTTTTATTTGAACACAAGACTTACTTTTTCAACGGATGTTTCCCGAAAACTGAGCAACGTCCTGCCACTTAACAAACATCCTAGATAATGACACAAGCACAACTGCGTCTTGCCTTAGTGAGAAACTGGCCACATTCACTTACCCGGATGTAAATGGGAATCAGTGACAGTTCATACACAAAATCTATTTGTAAACAAGGTAAAATGATGAGGATATAGTGTAAAATGATGAGGATATAGTGTCAAATGATCCAGGTATCGAACTGTATTGAAATACTATTTGCATTGGTTTTACCACTGAACTTATTGTATTGGCGATGTGTCCCTGGATGAATCGATAAAAGGGATGATAATAATCTAGTTAAATTTAAAAAATATGGTGAAAAGAAAAAAAAAAAAAAAAGAAACCGAAAGAGTTATAAAACATTGTATTTAACGAGAATATGTTAATGAAGAGGGAAGTTGAACTGCATGCAGCAGCGACGAATATTTTGGCATTATTCATAAAATCTCTTAAACAAAAGTGGATTCAAAATGTCTCTCACAGCCATGACACACTGAAAGCTACTTCCATGAAAATACATCATGTCAATAGTTTGCTATTTGAGAAATATTTAAACGGCAAACTATTAGAATAATTGCTATTATTTCTCTTTGCTTTTGTTTTTGTACACAAAACTTTGCTTTACTTGTTTTGGATAAACTATATATATATAAATGACTGTCTGTATGTATGTATGTATGTATGTATGTATGCATGTATGTATGTATGTATGTATGCATGTATGAATGTATGCATGTATGTATGTATGCATTTATGCATGTATGCATGTATGCATGTTTGTATGTATGTATGTATGTATGTATGTATGCATGTATGTATGTATTCATGTATGTATTTATACATGTATGTATGTATGTATGTAAGAATTCATACACTATTTATTTATTGCGATAAAACTTGGGTGATTCGATGTCCATAAGCCCGAGCATTTTTCTGAGTCATTACAACAATTGTAAAATATTCCGGTTTTTGCCATGGGCCCTAAATCATTTTTTTTTCTTAAATGAGCTTTTTAAAAAATAATTTCTGTATGGGCTCCTATGCCATATTTAAAATGCGATAAAACCTAGGGAGACGTTGCGGGCACACCCGCAAATGTTTTTGAATTGCCACAACCATTTTTAACTCTTAAGTTTTTGGCCAGGGGCCCTATGTTCTTTTTTTTTTTTTTTTTATGAGCTTTGTAAATATTTTTTCAAACCGAATGCGCTCCTACAACATTGAAGCGATTGCGATAAAACTGTGGTGAGTTGTTGTCCACAAGCCAGAGCATTTATCTTAGTCATCATAAACCTTAAAATGCGATAAAACCTAGGGAGACGTTGCGGGCACACCCGCAAATGTTTTTGAATTGCCACAACCATTTTTAACTCTTAAGTTTTTGGCCAGGGGCCCTATGTTCTTTTTTTTTTTTTTCTTATGAGCTTTGTAAATATTTTTTCAAACCGAATGCGCTCCTACAACATTGAAGCGATTGCGATAAAACTGTGGTGAGTTGTTGTCCACAAGCCAGAGCATTTATCTTAGTCATCATAAACCTTTTAAACTATGTAGTTTTTGGCCGTTTGCCCTAAATTAATTTTCTGTTATGAGATTTGTATAAAAATAATTTCCGTACTCGCTCCTATACAGCTGGTCTAATCCGAATGCGAGAAAAGTTTAGTGAGATTTTGAATAATTACAGCCATTTTAAAATATTCCGTTTTGAGCCAGGGCCATATATCAGCTGTATAAATATAATTTCAAACAGACCTAATGCATGAGTGGATAGGACTTTAATCAAAGAGCGACATTCGATTTTTGTGTGACATAATTAATAGGTTTCTAAAGAAATAACACCACTGTACTATATTTCGTTTGTGGCCGGGGGCCCTAAATTCAATTTCCGCTTTGTATTAGCTATATTAATTTAATTTCTTATGCGTTCCCATAATATTCATCCCAAATCAATAAAACTTTGGTGAATTGATATGCGCCCACCCGAAAAGGTTTCTAAATTTGTACAACCATGTTAAAACATTCCGTTTTAGAGCCGGCGGCCCTTACTTCGTTTTTTTTTTTTAATTGAGCTATGTATGTATAATTTATAAAAAGAACTAAAGCATTGGTGGATAGAATTCAAATAATATACAAATAGTAAAATTTCAATTTGTTTGTGATATAATAAGTAGGTTTATGAATTAGTATAACCAGTTTTCGATATAATCCGTTTGTGGTCGGGGCCGTAATGTTAACATTTTTTTTTATATGAGCTATACATATATATGTAATCAAATACAAAGAGCTATATTTCCGTTTGTGTGTGACATAATTTCGTAGGTTTCTGAATTTGAACATCCATTTTGCAATATTCAGTTTTGGAACGGATGCCCTTAATTTGTAGTTTTGTTTAAAGATATGAGCTATTTAAATATAATTTCCGTTTGCTTTCCTATACCATTCATCTGATTGCGATAAAACTTTAGTGAGTTTCTGTGTACGCCCGCTGAAGGGTTCTTAAAAAGTACAAACATTTTACAATATTCTGTCTTGGGCCAGGGGCACTAAATTGTTTTTTTTCCTTATATGAGCTTTATAAATAAAATTTCAAACCGAGTTATTGCATGGGTGGATTTAATTGAATCAAATACAAGCTGCTACATTTCTGTTTGTATGTGACATAATAAGTCTTTAGTATCTTTCTGAATAAGTACATCCATTTCTACAATATTCCGTTTTGAGCCGTCCCTTAATTTATTTATATGTACTAAATGAGCTATATAATTATAATATCAAACATAGCTACTGCATGGATGGATCTATCGCTACTAGTGTCGAGACTAAATTGCATACCACCAGACTCACCAGACTCTCAAAAGAAAAAAACAAAATTGATTCCAACAGGCACCGGACTTTAAAAACAAAACAACAAAATATTGTTTATTTAAAAAGAACAGTCGAACCCGCTTATCTCAACCTCGGTTAACTCGCCACCATGTTATGTCGACGTTTTTTGAAATGGAACAGCCAAATCTCTCTTTGTATTCTCATTTTCTCTTCGGTTATGTCGATTCTTTTATATTGCCGACCCCTGATACCTTGAACACAAAAGGCGGCCAATGTTTCCACTTAATATCGGTTATCTCGCTCCCCATAACTAATCGCCGGCTTTTGATTCTTTGCAAGAAGAAATAGCAGGCTACAAATAAACACGTTTTTCATAATTAAAAATAAGTATTTATTATTTCTCAAAATACATGACTTGTGTTTAAGAATAAACCTGGAAGTATTTTAAATAAATATGTTTTAATTCCAGGTTTTAAACCCCGGTAGAGACCATGTTATGAATGATCATAATTTGCCGTGTGCAAAACGTTGTCATGGGCAGCCATTTACGGTCACTCGCATAATGGTTATGCCGTGGTACTACGATAGAGTTTCATTCATAAGAGTTTGCCGTGTGCAAAAGCTGTTAAACCATAGTTCAGGAAAGCTTTATTTAAATAGTCATGTGGCAAAGTTTAAAGTTCAAAATAAGTAATCCTTAATTATTATTTGAGTAATAAGGGTATGTGTTGCCTTATATGAGCTATATAGTCATTGCGCAAGACACGATCTGCAGAATGAGGTCACAAAATGTGGAGGTTTCGTCTATAGTCAAAAATACCAAACGAACTCGCACTTTCAAAATTCGAAGCTCAAAAAGTACTAAAGTTAAAAAGTTTTTTCTGGTTTCATTTCTTACATTTGAAATTTGCTTTTAGTAACTGTAATATTTAAACAAATTATTGTTTTGTATTTTTACTGAAGTACCTGCTTTTATTAACGCAAATAATGTACATACATTTTTTTTAAAGCACATGTTAATGTATTGCCGCCATATTGTTTTTCTGTTATCTCGATCATTGGTTATCTCGACGCTTTCTGGCAAGCCCGGAGGCCGTCGACATTACCAAATTCTACTGTACTACCAAAAAAATGATTAAAACACAGACACTTTATTTCTATGAGGGTCATTGTAACGCATCCCAGGTTCTCGATACTAAAAATAAAGATAATATAATGAATATAAAGGAAAGAATCTTTATTGATTACAGTAAAACTGTTTTGATGGCAGTAAAGACTCAGAGAAAAAAACACATTGCTAAGGCAATGTAGCAAAGTTCTTTGATTTCATTGAAAATATATAAATATATACAATTTTAAAAAAAAAGACATTATTATAA